ATAATTTTTTGTAGCATGGCTGATCGGAGCAGTGTGCACCGCGGTACAGGAACCTCTGTTTCCTGTAACCAGCCCTACTAACAAGAAGTGTTCACTGAGATCACTGAGAGAGCACTTCCCGTCAGTTTGGCCAGATACAGGAAACTGAAGCACCTGTACTTTGTAGCATGGTCTGCTCTGCCTGGCCATGCTACAAAGAGAGGTAGGCGACACACCGGGGACCAAAGGGGGCAAGGAGCACTATAGGAAGGGGGGGCAAAGAACACTATGGGAAAGGGGAGGGGGGATAAGAACACTATGGGACAAGGGAGGGAGGGGAGAGGACCACTAAGGGACATGGAGGGGAGAGGAATACTAAGGGACAGGGAAGAGGACCACTAATGGACAGGAAGGGGAGGGGAGAGGACCATTAAGGGACAGGGAGGGGAGAGTGGCACACGGGGTGGGGGGGCCTGAGTGGGGAGAAAGACACACAGAGGTACATGATGGGGAGAAAGACACACAGATGAGCCTGGGGGCGAAAAAATTCACAGGGAGGCTGGGAAAGAGGAAAAAGAGACACACAAAAGGGCCTGGGGCTGGAAATACAAAGGGGCTGGGGGTGAACAAGACACAGAGGGGCTGGAGGGAGATAGACGGAGTGGTAGTAAAAGAGAAACACTCAAAGTAGCTGGTAAGAGTAAAAGACACAAACGGGCTGGGAGAGAAGGAGACACCAAAAGGGGTTGGGGGAATAAGACACACAAAGGGGGGTTGTAAGAAATACACAAGGGAAGTGTAAGACAAAAGGCGGGTTAAGAGGCACACCGGTGTAGTTGCTTTTGGGGGGAGGACAAAATCATCTTCACCTGTGTACCCAAAAATCCTTGCACTGGTCCTGCCTCCAGCCATATGGCCGCCTACTGGAGGGCTGGCTGGGTTCTTTAAACGTAGCTCTCGCCCAACTACTATATGCTCACCCTGGGGTGGCTCTCTAATTAGGTGGTTTAGGCGGCCGCCTACGGCCTCACGCTGGAGGACAGACTGTGTCGGGTCCTTGGTCAGTGACTAAGGACCTGACATTAGGAGGGGGCCGACGGCTTGCTCAGTATGCCGCCAGGTGCGAGGCCCCTCCTGTCTGCCCAGGCAGTCATCAGACACCGGTCTCCAGCTCCGCAGTGAGCAGAGCAGCAGACCATGTGTCTAGCGAGAACTGGCTAATCAGAGCGTTGCCACGAGATTCATGGTCTGTGGAGCTGCAGACCGGATGTAATGGCCACCGGACCATCAGGGAGCCCACCGGACCACCAGGCAACTCACACTGGACCACCAGGGAAAAAATCAAGGTATGTTGTCTCCCCTTCTCCCCATCAAACCCCACTCCCTCACACCATCACCCCCCTCCCTGACTATCACCCCTCCTCCATCTCACCATCACCCCCTCCCTCTCACTATCACCCCCTCCCTCTAACCATCAACCCCCTCCCTCTCACCATCACCCCTACCTCTTACCATACCACCCTTTCCCTCTCACCATCATCCCCCCTCTCACCATCACCCCCCCTCCCCTCTCACCATCACCCCCCTCTCCCTCTCCCTCCCCCACTCCTCTCACCATCAACCCCTCTCCCTCTCACCATAACCCCCTCTCTCTCACACTATCGCCCTCTCACACACACAGTATCACCCCCCTCACAAACACAGCCTCCCCAGACACACTGTTAGTATCCCCTCACACGGTCACCCCTCCCTACACTGTCAGCCTCTTCATGCATCCACACTCACATTAACCACTCCTAATCCTGTTAATCTCACCCCCTCCAAACTCACCTGCCCTCACTCTGCCACACTCACCCTGTCACATTAACCCCACTTAATCCTGTCACACTCGTCCCTCCTAACATGCCACAATTGCCCTGACACAATCCACTTGCCCTGTCACACTCCCTCATCAAACCATGTCATACTCCCTGTCCCTCATTCTCTCTCACAACCTCCCCTTCCATTTACCCCATTCGCCCGGTCACGCTCTACCTGCCACTGGTACCCCTTTACTCACCTTGTCACAGTCACCAGCTGAAGACATTCATCATACACACACAGTCAGGAAACATAGCTTTGCCATAAACACAATGCACAAAGGCCACAGGCAGACCCCCATACACACAACACTCTTCAAGCAGCTACCCAATACACATAGGGTCCCAGACAAAAACACAAACATGCTCACAGAGACATACATTCACACACACACACACACACAAGGATACTCTCTGTCAGACACACTCTCAGGCACATACACAGGTAGAGTGCGTCAATGTGTATATGTGACAGTGTGCATGTAGTGCAACTCTATTTCTTTCACTTTTTTGTTAGTGGGGCCTCATGTTTGAGTTTCGCCTAAGGCCTCATAAAGTCTAGAGCCGCCTCTGTGCCCACCTACCCACTGCTGGAGGAGTCTGAACTTGCACATGCGATCACAGTGGAGCTCAGGAAACCTGCTGCTGGCCGCCATGGTCAGAAAGATTGCCATGTTGCCTGTTGTTGCTCATAGCAAGGGGATGCGGCATTTAGGGACAAGTCATTAGTGCTCCCCTTCTTGTCCCTCCCCCCCCCTTTGGGTTTTACATGTTATACAGAGCTCGCCCATTTTCGATCCACACACTCATTGAGAGATTGGAACTGTGAGGAGGATACTCACTGCCACACATACACACACACACACACACACACACACTGGAATTCACAAACACACAATTACTAACCCAACTTTTCTGTTATTCACTACAAACAATCGGCAGTTTGTATTAAAATCTAAATGCCATTGCAAGTTCTTCAGAGTTCTTGGGTTATAGAATAAATTTCAAATCTTTTTCTACAATTTTATTGGGTTTTATTGTGGGGTTTTTAAAGAACATTTGTTCATTTAACCAATACTTTCTAGTTTTTCTATTTTTTTTTCTATTTCATAATTATTATTGCTGACTAAGCTTAGTTGAAGTGCATGTTACATATCTCAGCTTTGCGCATATATACTAAATAATTAAAGGAACACTATAGGGTCAGGAACACAAATATGTATCCCTGACCCTATCGTGTTAAAATCATCATCTAGCCACCCCTCCTCCCCCCCCTGCAGCTCCCCTTTATATAGTAAAATCTTGCTGCCTCTGCCCCTGATCTGTCTGCTTGACTGACATGATCAAAAGTGATTCTCAGAGCCAATCACAATGCTTCCCCATAGGATTGGCTGAGACTGACAAAGAGGCAGATCAGGGGCAGAGCCAGCATGATTCAAACACAGCCCTGGCCAATCTGCATCTCCTCATAGAGATGAATTGAATCAATTCAGAGGGAGGAGATACTGAATGTTTGGATGCATTTTAGGCAGCCATGACCCAGGAAGGATCTCTAACAGCCATCTGAGGAGTGGCCAGTGAAGTTATCACTAGGTTGTAATGTAAACACTGCATTTTCTCTGAAAAGACCGTGTTTACAGCAAAAAGCCTGAAGGTAATGATTCTACTCACCAGAACAAATTCAATAAGCTGTAGTTGCTCCGGTGACTATAGTGTCCCTTTTTATATGTGACAAGGTCACCTCTAAGGGGCCAGTTCTAATTAATGTACGTGGTAACTTCTCTGAATTAAAAGCTCCATTTCCTAACTCCTGTCCGGTGGTGTGTATTTATGGGGACAGGTTACACTAGCAATGTGCGACATCCACAGATACCAACCAACACACAACATGACAATATATCACCCACAACCCCCTTGATCATCTCCAACACCCCCAAGCCAGAAAAGGCCAGGTCAGGGCAGCAGGATGTCCTAAGCAGTACTACAAAATTTGGTATAATCTTTATATTTTGTCTCTCACATTCTCTCTCTTTCTCCCTCAATATGTCACCATCTCTTTTTTCCTCTCTTTATTTCCCATTCCTACCCTTCCCCTCTCTTTTCTCTCTTCCCATCTGTATTCTGTTCTGTCTTTCCATTGCCACCCGTGGATCTCAGAATATATTTCTCTGTCTCCTTATCTTCTGTACACTGAGTCTCCCCCATTCTGTTTTTCAATAATACGTTCTGTTGTTCAAGGTTAACTGCATCGCAAATTCCAGCTCCCAGAGCCCAAGGACTCCAGCAGATAACAGACTGTAAATTAAAGAGATCTCGCTATTTACAAGGATTCATCTTTCTCTTCCAATAAATTCTGCTAAAAAATATGTTTCATATACATTAGATTTCCATACAAAGTATAACATTTATCAAACAACAAATTACATCTGAAAATATTATTTCATGCGGGCATTTACAGAACCCCTAAAAAAAAACAGTTTCTGAAATGAGCGTTTTCTTACGGAGAAGAATATTCTTCAGGTAAACATGGCAGACACATGTCATGTAGATGTTACAACGACATCATAAACATGGAATAACTATAAGCAGAGATCCCTACCATATGAAACTCAGATATCTTCGGAGTGGCTCTCATTGGTCACAGTGACTATAGTCTAGGTTAGGTGTTATATCACAAAACTGAGAGTTACATATATTTACGTAGTAATTCCTTTTGACTCCAAATTGGCAGTCGCATTCCCCCAACCATCCCAATAATTTATTTATAAAATATTTTACCAGGAAAGATACATTGAGATTTCTCTAGTTTTCAAGTATGTCCTGGGTCATGACAGGAATGCCACAAATTTCAGGTCTTGTCCCACCATCTTGGCTTTCCCACTTTTGGGGAAACTGTCTCCAACTACAAGCAGATAATTAGACACGCTAACCCTATGGGCAGAGAATTAGGACTCTACACAGAGAAGAAAAACCAGTGCTCCCTGCGTGGTCCGGCCTTGGTGGTCCAGACTACTTGATTGGCAAGAAGCCTGATATTCATTGGACCACAAGTAAGGTCACAAGTTTCATTAAACACCAAAATCATTAAGATGATTCACACCATCACCAACGTACAACTGCCCCAATCCCCAGAAATTGTACTCTTCCTTCTCCTCCCTCCATCACTTCCCAAGAACACAAAACCCCTAACCAACCACCTTCTCACAGCGGCAAACGCCCTCATCCCTAGCCACTGGAAAAAAACAGAAGCGCCCACCATCCGGACATGGATCAATAAGGTTGACTCCATACGCCTTTTAGAAGAAATACACTACTCGAGGTCACACTCCTACAACACCTATGAACGCACCTGGAGCCCGTGGCTACACTTCCTAAAAACTGATGAGGCCTCCAGAACACCAACTCCCAACCAACTTACTTAAAAGGTCTATACACCCCCCCCCCTCCCAATTGCACTCCTTCCACGTAAAGTATTTAAGGACCGCGCTGCTCACGCTCACTACCTCATCCCCTAAGCGACTATATGATAGAATGTCTGTCCACTCTGCAGATCTGGAGGACCCCCCCCCCCCCCCACTCCTTTCATAGTTTGACAACTCTGGCTGGACACAATTTAGTGGGACTTAGTGGTTTCTCAAAAGTATAAATTGAGAGGTTGAACCACATCTACTACGGCAAATCAACCAGCAACACCTGGTCTGTGAACCCACAGCACCCAGACTGGAACTTACACTTACCAACCCCACCACAACCTGTACGACCCCGCCAAAACCAAAATTAACTCAATTTATTTATCTCTTTCTTTAACGCCTCTAAGATCTCTATAACCTACCTGACACAAATAAGTTAGACAGGACCAGCCAGAGTGAAGTTAATGCACAATGTTGAATGTTTGAAAATTTACTGATGTATACTGTTTACTGCTCAGAACTAACCCATAAGTGCATAATTGAATGTGGACATCGTACCTTGCGACCCGGAAGAATTCTTCCGACGACATTCCTCACACTATCTTGGCTCCACAACATGACACCATGTTCTGCTCATTATGTTATGTACTCTATGTTAACTCAATGTACAGTTCTGTTTGTATGAAAAATTTGGACAATAAAGACAAAAAAAAAAAAAAAAGTTTCATTAAACAGAAACTCTGACTACAAACTTCAGCCAAAAGACCACAAGCCATTGTTCATGCTTGCTCGGAATGAAACAATGGATGAAGAAAATGTAACTAAATACTAAGTAACCTCTTCTGGGTGCAAGACAGGACATTCACTGATAAAAACTCGCCATCCATCCACATTGCAACCAATTACCGGGATACTACAGAGCTATATCATCTCCAGATTGCAACCAATTACGGGATACTACAGAGCTGTATCATCTCTATATTGCATCCAATTACCGGGATACTACAGAGCTGTATCATCTCCAGATTGCAACCAATTACCGGGATACTACAGAGCTGTATCATCTCTATATTGCATCCAATTACCGGGATACTACAGAGCTGTATCATCTCCAGATTGCAACCAATTACCGGGATACTACAGAGCTGTATCATCTCCAGATTGCAACCAATTACCGGGATACTACAGAGCTGTATCATCTCCAGATTGCAACCAATTACAGGTATACTACAGAGCTGCATCATCTCCAGATGGCAACCAATTACCGGGATACTACAGAGCTGCATCATCTCCAGATGGCAACCAATTACCGGGATACTACAGAGCTGCATCATCTCCAGATTGCAACCAATTACCGGGATACTACAGAGCTGCATCATCTCCAGATTGCAACCAATTACCGGGATACTACAGAGCTGCATCATCTCCAGATTGCACCCAATTACAGGGATACTACAGAGCTGTATCATCTCCAGATTGCAACCATTTACCGGGATACTACAGAGCTGTATCATCTCCAGATTGCAACCAATTACTGGGATGCTACAGAGCTGTATCATCTCCAGATTGCAACCAATTACCGGGATACTACAGAGCTGTATCATCTCCAGATTGCACCCAATTACCGGAATACTGCAGAGCTGTATCATCTCCAGATTGGTAAGGGTAACGTATAGCTTTTCCATCTATAATTAACAGCTGTTTTAATGGTACGGAAGTCAATTCATTGTGGGTTAAGTGGTGACTATAATATATACAAGGTATATCACTAAATTGAAATTTCAACGTGAATCTAAAATGTAAGGTCCAAATGGAGGAACTGGAAGCTGAATGAGAGAATGTCTCCAGCTTGAAATTTCCACTTTAAATGTTAAATTCACTTTGAATGAACTTTGAGTTCTCACTTTATTGAATAACCCTGATAGTCGTAGCTAAAACTTGGTGGAAGTAGATCTTTGTTTCTAACTGCAGAAGACACCAGAAGATCTCTTCCAGCCCAGTCCTCCTTAAACCTAAGTACAATATTCTCCCTTAACCCCATTATTAAAGGTGTTTGGTATTTGTACTATATCTAGATAAATCAATCAGGTTAATAATATCTAGACCTGTGTAGATAGGCATTATTGAAATTATCTACAAAAACACGGAATAGGCGCTCACTATATGTAATGATAAAGTGGAAGGCAGCAGTGAACCAGCAGCGATTCGCAGACCTTGCATAAAATAAAAACCTGACAAACAGAAATGTGGTAAACAATTCCAAAACTGGGAATGTATACAGAGAAACAGGGTCTAATATGATAATAAGATATGTATACATACATTTATTGGAAGTCAATAGTTAACAATTTCTGTTATAGTTTAAAATAATAGTAGGTACATTCATTGGTTTGTTGTTCACAGGGCCTGCACTACCATAAGGCTGCATTGGTGGGTGCCCGGGGGCGCAAATATCCAGTTGTCTGGCAGGAGAGAGGTGCACAGCATTCCTCTCCTGAGTGCCAGTATCTCCGCTGCACGGCGCAGGAGGAGAAAGCACGCGAGGGAGGTCCGATCCAGATCCGCATTTTCTGTATAGATATATAGTTCCCTCACGCGCCCTGCAGAGGTCCTGGGAGCCGAAAGGTGACGTCATATTCCAGCTCCCGGGACCCTTTACAGGGCGCGCAAGGGAGCTATACAGGAAATGCGGATCTGGATTGGAGCTGTGCAGGCTGTGGATCCAATCCAGTTCTGCAGAAGGTAGGGAGACTGGGTGGATTGAAATAAAAGCGTGTGTGTCCACTCCTCCACAATACTGTCCGTCCCTCCCACCAAAGCCCAGTCCCCCACAATACTGCCCCTACCCCTTACAATACTGACCCTGTTCCCTTCCCCCCACAATAGCCCCAATCCTCCAAAATGCTACTCTACCCACCACAATACTACCCCTGCCCACATACTGTTCCTATTCCCCCAACATAGCCCCAGTCGCCCACAATACTGTCCCTATCCCCCCTCCCACCATAGCCCCTGTCCCGCACAATACTGTCCCCTCACCCCAATACTCTTCCCTTACCCCCACATGCTGCCCTGTCCCTCAAAACTGTTCTGATCCCTCCCACCATAGCCCCAGTCCTCCACAATGCTGCCCTGCCCCCCATACTGTTCCTATCCCCCAACATAGCCCCAGTCCCCCACAATACTGCTCTTGCCCCCCTACTAAAGCTCAAACCCCCACAATACTCTTCCGATTCCCCACCATAGCTCTAGATCCCACAATACTGTTCCTATACCTCCAATACAATACTGTTCCTAACCCTACCACTAACACCCCAATTCCCCATAATACTGACGCTATATATATTATAATAATAATAAAGTCCCTATCCCACACAATTCTGCACCTATCCCCCACAATGACACTGAAAGGAGCTGGTGGGCAAGTAAGAGACACGGGGGTGTAAAACACTAAAGGGGGATATAATACACTAAAGGGGGTATGTAGCGGAGAGCTGGTATTCCACAGCCTATCTCCACTTTGGATCCCAGGGAAGTTCAGGAACAAGCAATTATAAATCCATAGGGTAAAGTATCCAGCAGGCAAAATCACACAGCAGTATCCCAACAGCAATCCCAAGAACTGGACGACACACAGTTTCAGGAGCAGAACTAAAGATTAAGATTTATTCAGACAGTGGCCTTTTAAAGCCTGCTCCCATGCAAGGGAGGGATTTTCATTCATTAGTACAGTAGCCAATCCTGCTCTGGTAACCTCCCACACATCTCCTCCCCTCAGCCTGCATCATAATCCCCTTATCCAGCACACCAATTCCCCCCGTTTCTGGATGTACCCCTAAACTTAGGGGTACCACTTTAAATTATACATCCCCTGGTAGCCCTGATCTGGGTGAACAACATATCCAAAAATCACCCAGATCAGACCAGGGGTTCGGGAAATTCATGGAGGGAATAAAATGACCGACCGCACTGGATAGAACAGCCGAATGAGGTTCCATGCGAATGGGCCCTGCGGTCGGTCCTGGAGTCAGGGAATAAATGGCACGAAAGCCTCTAGCTACAGAGACTAGGGAGGGTTCGCCTGAATCCCCTCGTTCGGTTCTTTCTATCTACCGAACGAGGGGCCGTTCGGTAGTTTGGAACCGAACGGACCGGGCTTGTGGAGGTTTCAGCGGTGTTCGCCTAGTCGAGTGTCCGATTTGAGTTCCAGACACTCGACGGCAAAACACCGCTGTTCGGGAGTTTTAAAATGGCCGCCGCCACGTGTTCGTTTTTCGAATGGCGGCCACCCCCGAGAACAAAGGACGGCTACTCAGCTTGTCAATTACCCGTTCGCAACAATGTTGCAACGGGTAATTGAAGGCACACTTCACACAGGGGAGGTCTGACTGTTCGGTAGTTTCATTCGAACAAACTAAGGGAATGAAACTACCTAACATTCAGACGAATACAATATATTTAACACATAGAACTTAGTTACTTTACACGAATGCATTCAAATACTTGTAATTTCTCAGGACAGCCCAGTGCCATCCGCTACAGGGTATAACACACAGGGATAACACATTCAAGAGGGGATATGTAACACTAAAGGGGGTAAGAAATTCAAAGAGGGGTTAGCCGATATCAGCCGGCCATGTGCATTAGGATTTCCCCATAGGAAAACATTATTCAATAACCAAAGGTCCGTTTCGATTCTGGAAGTGCCCCAGTGGCTGTCTCGTAGACAGCAGCTGAGGGCAGACCAGGAGCTGCAATGTAAACATTGTTCTCTGGAACTGCAATGCTTTACATTACAGCACTAAGTGCAATAGGGACACACTACAATTAGCTGAAGTGATCTGGATGCCTATAGTGTACCTTTAATATGAAGTTCTAGATTTTCTGGATTATAGTTTTTTTTTCTTCAAAAACATTCTTGGGATACATACAGAGGAGATATGTCAAACATACTATGTGACAGATCCATCCGTCTAAATTCTATTTTTCTGGTTCGTCTGTTTTGTCTATATTCGTGGAATTACCTGCCAGTATGCCCCTGTTCGTTTATTGCAAAATATACCGAATAAAACTACCGAACGGACGGCCACCCAGAAGAGAAGTGTGCTGCTGGTTAACCTATTGGCCTCAATTAGAACATTGTGGTTAACCGCAGACACCTCTTCATTCTAACCGTATGCAGGGTGGTCGTCGTTTGTATGCCGACCACGAGGCGGTGACCATTTTAAACACGCAAATGAACAGCGGTGTTTGATGAAGAACTTATGGAACTAAAAACGGACACTTTTTCTACCGAACACCGCTGAAACTGCCGACCGCTCTTCTTATCCACGGGCATGCGAACGCCGGTCCGTTCGGGAGTTTTATTACACGAATGGACTTAACCCAGATAGTCATCCCATGGAGTCAATCGTATACCGAAAGAGC